TACAATATTTATTGATGCAAACAATAAATTGTAGTGTCTTTTGACACAGCACCCTCTAGTGGTGGCTCTAATAGTAAAATCGCTACCATATAAGAATCATTTCAAGCCAAACACAATATAAAATTCAAAAAGCAAGGCAGTAGACTAGTGACTAAGATCTACAGAAGTGGGAAACTGCAATGGGATAAGTCCCAGCTTTTCAAGTTTAATTGGGGTACAAATGTTAATGGGATACTTAATAAAAAACAGATAATATCTGATTAACAGCAATGTTGTCCAGAAATCTTGACAAAGCAAGATACAGTTGCTTGTTGGGCAGTCATAACTCAAACAAAACAGTTACTATTAGATGGATGTTACTGCTTCAGTGTCTGATTACTATCCTAGAAAGAGTTTCTATGATAGACCTGTTGGAAGTGTGTAGTAAGGTAGGTGGAGCTACTAGAGGTAACTGCTGCCAGGTTGTTCCCCGGTGGCCTTTATTCATTCCCTTCTTCTTCAACCAATAAACATAATGTGTCTTACCTTTACAACTGATGTCTTAGAGGGAGTTCAAGTCCTAGTCCACCTCCTCCAATGCAGGAAGAAAGAAAAATCAATTGGTTGGGAAAATAGATTCCCCTGAGAGTGGACGGAGCCTCTGGCTTTCATCTAGAAACAGGGCAACGAGAGAGAGGGCTGTAATCTCTCTCGATCCCACTTAATCCCAGGCAAGTGAGCTGCCTGCCTCTGGCCCCAGGAAGCCGGTTACTCCCTCACCGGCTGGCTAGTCTATGCTGAGCTGCCAAATCTTCTTAACCATTTCAGCTGTTAGCGGTACACAAAGGTAACTGAGGGATAACGACAGAGGAAGCGAAGGTGTCGCCTTAAATAAGTGTAAGAATTGATACATCTGAGGATTAATTACACAATCAGTTATAAATCTCTCAAAAGAAATGCTCATTTGATCTGCATTTCATTCCCCTAATTAAAAACAGTCAAAGGTGTCAATGGGTAACCATTACAAAATCTATACTAGGGGCTGTCCAATTCTTCAGGTCCGCTGTGCTGCACCTTTGAACTGCTTCAACTAACTTGTGTCTATAATCAGGTCACTGGCAAGACTCTGGAGAACTTTCCTCAATCGAAACACAGCAAATTGGTAAGGCCTCTTTAGCTAAAATGGAGTCATTGGTCGCCGTGGTAAATGCTGTCGGAATAGTTCTGGCCTTAAGTAAAGGGTAGGAAAAGGAGCCTGGCTTCATATCATAGTTCCATTAGGAGAGGAAGCATACAGTGTTTCCATTTAGTGCTAAAGAATCCCACAACCCTTGTGTGAAATGACACATTGGCAAAGCCCACATCATGGAAAGGAACCTTGTGCGACACAGGAAATTTTAAACAGCTTCATACGTCTTGGTTTGTGCAATGGAGAGGTCTGGCAGTTTTATAGATTTGAGCAAACCTTTTTCAGAAGGCCGCAGCCCCAATTTGGTGAGCATCATCCATTTGTGTTTCTGTCGCATACATAAGTCTGGAATGCTAAAGGCTGTCTGATTACAGCACAGCAATACAGAGTTCCTTTCCTACAAACCTTAGTGTCTTTCCTATTGAACGCAAGAAAATTGAAGGGACAGGAGCAAAGGCTCAGTTTTACTTTATTCTGACTGAGCTCTTGACTATGGATATAGTTCAGTTAACTGATTTAGGTGTGAGGAATCAAAGACCCATATAAGGAGTTCAGGACTTCAACATCCCCTTATCTATACCCTTTGAAGATTTTGTTAGGTATTTGACATAATCAAACTATGTCAACTGCCAAGTCAAAGGAGTCACAAATAAAATCATCTATGTTAAAGGAAACATCTTTATAAAAGCTGAAATTATACTATGTCAAACCAAAAGTTTATTGTGTTAAAGCTAAAGT